TTTTGCTTGTCTCACGATCGAGATATGGTGTGGTTGCATCTCGCATAACCGAAACTTACAAAGCAATTAGACGATCCGATGACGGGCCTCGCGAATGCCGCGCGAGGACACGTGTAAACGCAACCCGAATCGCGCGTATTCCCGTGCGTTGATTCGCCCAAAGATTCACGGCGCAACCGCCATCCCGTACGAGCACGCTGGGGCGCGACCAAGTCCGCCTGTCCTACACGTGCTCGTGCGCGGTGACGATGACCCAACCACAGCTATAACACCATGACGCGATCTTGGAGCTCAGACTCATCCTACGACCCGGATTATTTCACCCCTTGGATAAACGAACTCTTAAGACAACGATACCCCTGTCACACAGAAAACCGACTGTGCCCCCGGGAATTTCACTGCGCCACCTCTAACGATCCCCGGTGCTCTGACTTCCCTTCCCCCGACCACACCTACTACTTCATCCACCCGGGATTCGTCGTTATCACGACCAGTTTCCCTCTGTTTCGCCTTCTTCTCCCGTATCATCAACTCAGCGTCGTTCCGTGGCCGGCCATAGCCCCCTATTGGCCCAGCACGCCCTACGGAAATTGCCGCTGTAACAGCGAACGGAGAACTTTGGAATGTCGAAGGCCCAACTCAAACGCGCAGCAGCCTACGCCACGTGGCGGCCTTCGGCGTCCCAACTTTTCTGGACCACCTCCTCCGCAAAGGGACTTCCCCGCAAACCGTCGCCCACAGAACCAGTGTTCTGCCCGACCTTAAAACCACGCGCCTACGCGTACACCATCCATTTCGCCTAATTGCATTCATACCCCTAAAACTCCCTGACTTTCCCCAAAAATCCTTGGCACACCCCTTTTCGCACTTCCTGGCCCACATCCCACTCCGATCAGGAAGTCGTGCCGGGCGTGAGGTTGGTATCGGAGCCCGACTCGTGGCTAGGGTCTTAGGATTGATAGCACGTTACTTAGGCGACCTGGCTAACCGAGGGCGACCTCGCCCTCGGAACGCGCAAAGACGCGACCCTATCGTCACCCGAAGCAGATCGGCTAACCGACGAGCAGCCAATATGGCTGCCAATGTGCAGAACCCGATTCCGCCACAGAATGTTAATCCACCAAATCAACCCGCCCCACGTGCACGGGCTCCCATGACGCCACCGGATCTCTATCTGTTCGATCCAGCACACCATCTCGCAGGAGCGTGGCTGGCCACGCTTAGAGCATAACAGTATACCAACGAGGAAGCACAGATCAACATTCCCGCCCGGCTAGGAGGTGACGCTCATCATTGGTTTAGTACATATGTATGGGTTGATCTCCCGACCTTGGAGCGAGATTTTATGAATCGATTTGACTACGTTCATCCTGAGCAAGCGCTGTACATGATCAAGGAGTGAGTGCAAAAACCTCTCGAATCAGTCGTAGAATATCGGAGCCGATTCTACCGAATGTTCGTGAAAACAGAGCGAGGTGAACAGGTCGGGAGGGATCTATTCATAGATGGGCTTCGCAGCCGAACGATAAGAACTAAGTTGCGAAAGCAATTTTTCCCCATTACTCACACGCTGCAACAAATCATGGCCGCCGCGGAAGAAATGGAACGGAAGTTCGCAGCGAACTTCCTGGAAGGGGAAGATTATTCTAGAGAAGGAGATTCGACCGAACTCGCATGAGCAAGTGCTGAGCTAGCTGCGTTACAAAACAAGTTTGAAAATATGGGATTTGTGTCCGGACCTATCATCTATATGGAACAGATAGGTCCCAAACGACTAACCTTGAGTGAGATCCCGAGCGCCCCTATTCCGACAATACCAACACCCGTCAGGGCGTTACCCCCGCCGCCGGTTGAAAACCCGATCAGAACAAGTGAGTCCATTGCGATCCTTGAGCTGACCAAAACACTAGTTATCTTAATCCAAGAAAGCAAAAAGGAGCAACGAGAGCACAATGCTCGGCTGGAAGCCATGATGAGGAATATGCGGCCCATTGCGGTGCGCGCCCCTCCGATACACAACAAGGATTAGCCCCGACACCTTCTCTCGGGGGAGCTGCGAACAATCTGAATGTCTGTTATGCCTGTCGTCAGCCAGGACATCTAGCCCGTGATTGCCCCCACCGACCCCCGCAACAGCGGATCGGGGTTGCACCAATGGCGGCTGCCCCCATCGCTAACGGACTGGGACGAGTTGGAGCTTTAATAAAAGCAGTAGAGGGTGGGGGAAGTGCCTTGACCACCACGAAAGAAGCCACCGAGCTGATCCCGCTAGACCAATACGTATCGCTTGGATATCCTGGGCTTGGAATGATCGGAACAATCAGACCAGCGCCAGAACCAAAAGAGGTGGCGGATTGGCGATCGTCTCTAGGAGAAATGAAGTCGGGAGGACCCACTTTCGTCACAGGAGAGATCGATGTATTAAACATCATCCGAGCCCTAGACCATCGGATTCCACTTCCGATCGATCAGCTACTCTCGATCTCCGAGCAAGCCAATGAGCGAATGCTACAGCATTGCAATGCAAACTGAAAGCGATTTGCCCTCGCCCGAACACCGAACGTAAAAGCCAAAAGCCCCACGCCCGAAGAAAATCCAACAGGCACTTCGGAGCTAATACGGGTAGGTTTAATCCAGAAAGACGACCATTTCCTGCGGATTAAACCAATTTCGTGGAAATCCGCGGAATGCGATATTGAAATCTGGGGAAATCTGTATAACCTGATTATTGATTCAGGAGCAGCTGTTTTGGCAATATTGCTAAGGGTAGTTGAAAGGGCCGGAAGGAGAAACGATCTGATTATGCTTTCCGAAAAATATCAGCTCGTCTCAGCAGATGAAGAAAAGATTAAAACGATGGGAAGAATGACCAATGTTGCGTTCCGATTAGGAAAAGTGCATGCACTGGAAAATGTTGTCGTATTAGATGTGAATACCTACGACGTTCTTTTCGGAATTCCTACTCTTGTGGCCTTGAGAGCGAACCTGGATTTCGAACGAAGATCGATCATCCTCCGTAATACAAGAGGAAAACCCTACGCTGTGCCTATGCGACTAACCCTTCGCACTACCACTAACGCGGTCCCCCGAATTTCGCCAATGTTGGCAGGGACTCTCCGCATGATTTCCTGGGATGAATCCGCCGATGAAAAGTCATCGACGAATGATGCGGACAGCAATGACGAAGATGATCCGGAGATCTTGAAATAAGCGCGACAACGCATTTACTACCCGCCGCCCAAAACGATAGCGAGAACGATGCAGCTGACTAGCCGAAGAATTCAAATGACCAAGGCGATGATTATGGGTGAGCCCCTCATACAGATTTCGAGGATGGTCGATTCTTTGGAACCCCCTCAAACTCTGTACGAAGGAATCACCCCTCTCCTCGCCCAGTATAACGACAAGAAGCGTTACTGCGACATTACAGATCTACCCAAGTCCTTATTGACCTCTGCTAAAGAAGTGAGATTGCTACGTTTGGGGGCAGAAGCCAGTTCTCTGGAACCCCCTGGGCGTCTCGAAGCAGAAACAAACGAACTGGGGATAAAAATCGTAACAAAGAACGTGCCATGGCATGATATCTGTGACGGGATTACCCCGGAAGGAAACGTGGCAATCAGGGAGGAAGACGCCCAGATGATGGCTACGATGTTCTCCTGGCGATCGGACCATTCGTTCATCTCGGCGCCTCCACCCGACGTGGCAAAACAGACGCGCACGAAACAAATCGACGTTCGGATGTGAGACCAACTCTTCGAACTACACGTTCCACAGTACGTACCGGACAAAATTCACCAGGTGATTGCGGATATTCTAACAGAATATCAGGGAGCGATTAGCATATCCGATACTGACATTGGCCTATCGCTAGTCATCCAACATGAGATTCAGACAGGAAATCACTCCCCGATTCACTGCAAACCTTACCGGTACTCCTTGATCGAACGCAAAAAGGCTCTCGAACGAATTCGGGAATTCGAAGTTAGCGGGTGGATTGAACCCGCCACCGGACCTTGGTCATTTCCCGTAGTGTTAGTACCAAAGAAAAACGGAGCAATTCGCATTTGCATTGATTATCGTAAGCTGAATGAGATTAAGATCAAAGATTTGTATCCCCTCCCCCGGACTGATGATTTGTTGGATGCGATTGGATGTGCTAATTATTTTAGCAAGTTTGATATTCGGCATGGCTTTCATCACATTCTTGTTAAAGAGGAAGATCGGCCAAAGACGGTCTTTGTGCTGTTTGAGGGCACGTGGCAATGGGTTCGATGCTTTATGGGGATTTGCAACGCGCCTGCCACGTTTCAGCGAGCGATGAACATGACGTTCTAGAATTTTGTCAACAAGACACGGCTGACACGAAGGATGATTAACTTCTGCGTGATCGTGTACATGGACGATATCCTCGTCTACTCGGAGACCTATCACGGGTACACACATCACATTGAGTGGACATTGGGAGCATTGAGAGACGCTGGGTTCAAGATCGCGCTCGAGAAAAGCGAAATTTTCCTCTCGGAAATTTCGTTCTTGGGTTACGTCGTGACACATGGAGGACTACGACCAGACTCAAGAAAGGTTGCGACAGTAAAAGAGGCCCCGGTTCCCACGTCACTGACGCAGGTTCGAGCCTTCCTGGGGTTAGCGTCGTACTATTGGCGCTTCATCAAGAGCTTTGCCGCGATTGCACGGCCACTAACGAATCTGCTACGGAAGGACCAGCCTCTCAGCTGGGACGCGGAGTGCCAGCAGGCCTTTGCAACCCTCAAGGACGCTCTGGCAACGACCCCTATTTTGATTCGGCCGGACCCCTCGAAGAAATTCATTCTCATTATGGACTGGCAACCGGAGACCATTTCCGCTATTTTAGCGCAGAAGGGGAACGATGGCCGTGAACACGTCATCGAGTACGCATCGCGCACAGTGTCCGACGAGCGACGGAATGACTCAGCACCTCAAGGCGAGTGCTACGCAGTAGTTTGGGGAATTCAACATTTTCATCCGTATCTCTACGGACAGAAGTTTCACCTCGTGACGGATCACGAGCCACTGCTGGCTTTGAAGAAGCTCACTAACTACACGGGCATGATTGGCCGATGGGCGGTGCGACTACAAGAATACGATTTTGACATCGTTCACCGGAAGACAGAGAGACACGGCAACGCGTACGGGCTGACACGTCTGCATCGACATGCCAAGGTACCAAAGAGTGAAGAAATTACACCGTGGAAGGAACCGAAACTTACAAACGAGCCTAAGTACGGACAAGTGGCAGTCCTTCCACGTGGCAAGAAGCAGAACGGCGGCAATGGGTGATGGAGGTAATCCTACTACCCCTCTCTCTCCCCTCTCTTCTTCGTTTGTCCTCTCCCTTCCTGATAAATTTTGTTATTTTTGCGAAGCAATTTCCCGCGTTTATTTTGTATCCATGCGTCCTAATGGGGAAGGGTATGTGGACTGGATAGATTGTCGACAGTGTGTCGCACGAGCCCATGGCTCGTGCATCCAATACAGAAACGATAGCAAACCATGGTTATGCCCCTTGTGTTGGATTAACAAGATCCTGACCGAGGCTCGCTTTTTGGATGCCACGTTGGAAGGGATGGAAAAGACTCAGAAATGTAGACGGGCCGAAGTATGGACGAATGTCGCCTTGATAGCCACCGTAGCGGGAAACCCCCTCCAGGACTTCACCAAGGAGGAGCGGAGGAGGGCTAACGAAAGGGCTCGGGATTATCGATGGGTAGACGGTAGGTTGGAAAAACGAAAAACGGACGGCAGTGGAACTTGGATGGTTGTGCCGCATCCGTTCATGCGGAATGACTGGGTTAAGATAGCGCACGAGGAAACTGCGGCTCATTTTGCCGTACGAATCACGGAGTCCGCTATCGACAAAAATGAATGGTACTGGTCCAATATCCGCGACGATGTGAAATACATCGTCGCCAACTGTCAAGTCTGCGCCGCCGATAAGGCGCCGATCCAGCCGCCAAGGTCGATAGTACCAACGGTAGTGGAACGACCATTTCAAAGAGTGAGCATGGACACTACCGATATAGTAGTGCCCCCTGACCCTAATAGTTGCGAATATTCAGTCCTATTGGTATTTGTCGACCATTTCTCGAAATGGATCGAGGCGTACCCTTGTCGCACGCGGCAAGCCACGAAAATCGCACGATACGTCAACCGTTTCCTCGGGATGCACCAGGATACAGAGGAGATCCTGACCGACAATGGGGCCGAATTCAGGGGAGAAGTGCTAAGGAATCTTGTCCTACATGGCATTGCCATACAGAATACTGCACCCCACATGTCGCAATCCAACGGATTGGTGGAAAACGCCAACCGGGTGATAAAGACAGCATTGCAACGAAATATGGTGGCACGGGATTCGAGGCCCTGGCCCGATATTGTCGACCACATCGTGGCGGTCCATCGCGGAACGCCCCACGAATCAACGGGGCTAAGCCCCTTCCAATTAAGGACCAATAGCGTCGCTTGCGTTTCGATACCAAGCCTCCCAGATGAATCCTCGCTGAACCAAAGGCCCACCAGGGCTACGGCTCGGGACAAGGCTAAACGACACTTAGAGTTGATGGAACGATCCCTGCCCAGGCTAGCCCGAAAACGACAGAGAATGACCGAATTAGCCCAAGGCCGGCAGGTCCGCAGCTACGAGGCCCGAAATGGGAATGCGGGTCCGCGGCCCCAATACAAATTAGGGGACGTGGTGCAGGTAAGGAAATGTGCTCGCCAGGGTAAGCTAGCACCACGATTCTTCGGGTGATATCGCGTGATCGAGCTCGGGCCTAACGGCGTGGACACCGTACGTCTCGCCCCTGAAGCCTCCAGCAGTCGATCGGCTCGTCCGATCACACGACACGTGTCCTATCTTCGCCTCCTTCCCTCTACTCCATCTCCTTCTTCATCAACCTCCCCCTCAGAGGAAGCCGACGACGACGATCATATCTCATCGACATCTCCCTCTTCTTCTTGTCCTTTCTATGCCTCCCCGTCACCTTCGCCATCGCCATGAGTTTTCTGGAGGAGAGGGCCCTCAACGAAGCATCGCTTGCGCCCCGCGATCGGTTAACGATCCGGCAAGTCCATCATCCCCGCCTCAGTCCAGATCTTCGGCGGTTGGTGCACTTTTTCTGCACAGAGGGCGTGTACGCAGCGGCAGTGTTGAGAATCGAAGGCCGGCCTGACGCAATAGTGCTGGCCGAAGCTGTAGCAGTCCATCAGCGAGCAGTGCCAGGTGTCAGCCGCATATCGGTCGTCATCAACTTCAGCGGCGATCTCTCCACGCTCCTCCCCTTGCGGCATTCGGCGGTGAAGGCATCGCTGCACGCGTGGGCGAACGATCTGGTCGCCGAGTGGGCCGAGCTTCTGGCTCGTCACGGGAATACGATCGCGACGACACAGGCAGTTGAGTACGACGGCCTTCGGATGTATCAGCGTGATCCGTCGGCGGAACTCCCTGCCCTCTTTCCTTTCCCGCGTCCCCATTGAGTCTCCCTCCGATCTCCGTTTTTGATCTCCCCTCCACCTTCCCTACCTTCTGGCAGTCTGACATCCATCCTCGCCTTTTCTATTGTTTAAAGCCTCTTGTTGTCTCCCTTCTTCATCCTCCCCATTGGATCTTATGGCGCGAAGAGTTCATCGAGCTTTCGTTGTGTTTGGTTGAGGTGCGGCTGACGTGGGCAGAGGACGGAGCGCGCCCACCTTGTCTAGAGCGTCTGGAGTTGCTGTGTATCCAGGCCTGGCGCACCAGCGTGGAGGGAGAGCTTCTCGCGTTTTTATTTGGAACAGTGCGGCCCGACCATCGAGAACTCATCGCGCAAGAGCTCACGGTCCCCATAGCGCAGCTGGCGGATGATCTCCCTCTCGACATCATCGCGCAAGACGACGAGCATCCGGTTCCCCACGTGCTCTCTCGCACCTTGACACCGTACCTTCAGTGGTCGACTTGCGTAGAAGGAGCCGCAAAACGTATTCCTCCGTCGCAGCAACAGTATTTGGATCCCCGTACGGCTCGCGATCCTGCCTTCTTCGGGCACCCTACAGCGAAGCAGTTTGCTGCCATTCGAGAAGAAGAGGAGGAAGAAGAGAGCACCGGGAGTGAGGAAGGGGAGGACGCGCGAGAAGAAGATGGGGATAGCGACGAAGTGCTCGGTGAAGAGGAAGAAACCCCCGAAGAAGAAAGCTATAGCGAGCATAGCGAGGGGGAACAAAGCGTAGAAGAAGAAGAAGAAGACGAGGAAGAAGAAGAGGGGCACGAAGAAGGGTCTGCTGGATTGGAGTGGGAAACTGTGCCGGAAGAAGCACTACGTACGGGCACGGAGGCTGAAGATCCCGAGGCGGCTCGCAAAAGAAGAGAGATCGCGGCCGGGAAGGAGGAGTTAAAACTCGCGAGCGCGGCGAGTCTGCAGAGCCACGACGACCCGAACCGAGATCCGGAGACGCCCCGTCCTGAAGATGTCGACCTTGCGGCCACGATTCCGACCCCATCAGCGCGGCAACGGAGCCGATCCCCCTCCTCCCCAACCCGTCCCCCAGTTCGCCGACGTACCGATACGGGCGATCGGCCTTCGTCCCCGATCACTCTCTCGCCGTCCCCTTGATTACCTCACCCTTTGCCAACTCACCACCCCCGTCACATTCCCTTCCAATCCGTTCCCCCGCGACACCTTCCGTCACTTCTACGCTGCTCGCCTCGCTGTAGTAGTGCATCCTCACCCGTCCCTCCAATGTGCCGTCCCGACCTTCTGCCTCCATGTTCTCCTCCTTAGTGCCGCGTGGCGAGGCCACAACATGATCGAGGTTTATTGCATGGTAACGGGGACCATCACCGCATGCGAAGACCGCGATCATTTCCTCGCGGCGCTCTTCCGAACTCTCACCACCCTCTATCCCGAGTATCTCGCGTCCCTCCCTCGCACTGGCAATCGATTCCCCCGTTTTCATCGCATTGTTCGTTATCAGGAGCTCCCGGAGACTGTAGCCGGAATGGAACGTCTCCTGCCCCCGCTTCCCATAAACCCTCCACCCCGCCATGCCGCCATGTACCGACTTCCTTTCCCCCTCCCGGTCAATTGCTGATGCAGCGGTAATGGACGTGTGTCGCAGCGACGACACGAGAAAGATCCCGTCCTTGGATCGTCGAGAGCCCAATCTGAGGAACTAGTAGAAGAGCAGTGATGCCACGTTGGATGACGTCCACACGCAATTGAACGGTAAGTGGCATGGAGAGAAGTGCTCCACGTGTCGATCGATGAGAGAAATCGACACGTGTCAACAAGCAAGCAGAAGCTTGCTAATACTGGAACCCCCTGGGCGTCACATATGTGACGAACCACTTTCTGTAACGCGCGATTTTCTGCGCGATTGCAACGAGGGGTCCTAAGCTGGGAAGATTGGGCCAATTACGAGAGATCGGGATCGGTGGGAAATTGCATCAGTATCCCTGCTTTTTCGTCTGTTTCGTCGCCTTTTTTCGAGTGGCTGGGTTCAGAGCTGGGTGTGTCCTGGGATGGCCGGTAGATTGATTGGTCGGCTGAAAGGCTGGCGCGCCACTGCGTGGGCGATTAATAAATGTTGACGTCGTTTCTTTCATTTCGGTTTCGACCTTTTGGGCGCGGACATCGCGCGGGAATTTGCTTCGTTCTTTTTGAATTTTCTTTTGAGTCTTTTTGAATTTTGTCGAGCCCCGATGGCTCTCGAAAATTTGGACTTTCCCTCTGGACTTGTGCTTTTTGCTTCTTCACATTAGATAGGAATTAGGAATTCAGTAATTAGGATTTTTCTTGTCGCACGGCGCCTTTGGACCACTCGCTTCTTTTTGCGGCTGCAACGGTATTCTGATTAGTAGGTGCCCTTAATCGTGCGTGTAACTGTAATTTTGTTACTGTATCTTCCTTCTTGCGCTTCGTCTTTCCCGCCCTCCTTCTCCTTCTTTTGCTACGTTTTGTAAGTCGCAGTCTGCGTGATCGGATCGATGAGTGGAGAGTGGCTACGTCCTCCACGCTGCGGTTTGGCCATGCATACGTAGGCATCTCCACCCACCTCCTCCCGTTCTAAGTCCTTGTAATTCCGTGTTCTTCGCGCATGCATGCACGCTATAAATTTCGGTTGCGCGAT